CCGGCCAGCCGCTGGTGCCGAACCACTGCGACCACTCCTCCGGCAGCCGCGGAAGCCCGAAGGCCGATGCTCGAAGAGGCGGCCGTGGGCCGGGTACCAGTCGCGGAAAGGGTCCCAGCTGGGGCTCCGCAGGAGCGAGAAAGGCACGCGGCGCTCGGTCATGCTGGCTCCACTCGGCGCGTCCGACTGAGGTTCGGAGAAGTGCCGGGCGCTGGGCTCGGCCGGGCTTTTATGGCTCCCTGGCCGGGTATTTTTAGCAGGCGGCGTTGCACGTCTCTATTAATGGCAATGACTGGCTGGGGTCCGCCCCTCCCCCTGCATTCCTCCCCCTGCTCACGGGGGCGGTGGGCGGGGCGAGGAAGGTTCTGCCCACATCTGGAAACTTCTTTTGTTTTAAAAAAAACAAATGACTGGAGCCCGGTGTTGAAGCAGTGGTTGTTGGAGCACTGCCCAGTGGCGGGCACTCGCCAGGCCTGGGCGCTAAATCTCTGTAGGTGGTGGCCTGTGGCCAAGGAGGACAGACGAAGAGAGGCTGGGTTACTTGTCCCAGGCTACACAACTAGGAAGTGGTAGAGTAAGGATTTGAACCACAGGGTGTCTGTGATGGATGTGACATCAAGTAATCTGTTGTGGTCGTTGGAGTGGGGACTCTGGACAGTCTTGGGCTCTGCCACTAAGTGGATGAACTTGTGCAAGCTAGACGTTTTCTGCCTCAGTTTCCCCATGTGGAAAATGGAAATGATGGTGATGATGATGATAAAAATGGGTCGGTATAAGGATTCAGTGACTTACACAAGTGAAGACTTTAGCCCAGGGCCTGGTACATCATAATTATTAGTTGTTATGATCTACTTGGAATTGAAGACAGGGAAGGGGAAAGAAAGCTGGCAGGGTTTGGCCATTTCCCTCCCACTGCCAGCAGTGGGGCTGGCCCAGATCAGACACGGGGAGGCCCAGTGCTGAGAGGGGGTCAGAAAGATGGTTATTGTCAATCTCCCCATTATATCGATATTTCCTTAAGAAGCCCTGGCCAAGGGGGCCGGCCTGTGGCTCACTCGGGAGAGTGTGGTGCTGATAACACCAAGGCCACGGGTTCGGATCCCACATAGGGATGGCCAGTTAGCTCACTGGGTGAGCGTGGTGCTGACAACACCAAGTCAAGGGTTAAGATCCCCTTACCGGTCATCTTTTTTTAAAAAAAAAAAAAAAAAGAAGCCCTGGCCAAGGAACCTCAAGTACAGCCAACCTGAATCTAGTCTGGGCATTGCCATTGATTTACTGTGTAATTTGGGCAAGGCCCTTCCTTTCTCTAGGCCTCAGTTTCCCTTTTTGCAGATTATGATCCTGCAGCCCGTTTGTTTATGATCCCCACAGTACAGAGGGAAAGGAGAGCTCCAGGTGGTGCACTCTGCTTAGGGCTGGAGGCTCGTCCCTCAATCCCACCTCTTCTGTCTGACCACCTGGGGGATCCAGGCCCTAATCCCCCAACTCTGAGGGAGGGTACTGCCTCTAGGCTCCTGCTATAATCCTGACATTCCCTGTCTTCTGCCTTCATAGGCCTGACCCATTCCAGCCTTCCTTCTCCCCTGATTTAGGTCCTGTTATCCCAAGGAAACTGAAGCTCACAGAGATTGAGTGACTGGCCACTGTCTCCAGTAAAACACCAACCGAGTCAGCCTCTTGCCTCTCTAGCACCCAGGGCTCCCACTTCCTCTCTTTCCCAGTCCCACCCTGCTTGCTGCTCTGCTCTTGCCAGTTCTACAGGGGCCTGAGGCCACTAAAGCCTTGTCCTACCCAGGCCCAGACTCTGGGGACACCTGAAGGGCTGGAAGCCAGATGCCACTCAAGGCCACTCAACTTGATGAGCTGGGGGTAGCAGCAAGTCCCACGCCCTCTCTGAACCTGTTTCCTTTTTGAGAGAGCACATGGATGCCTCTTTCTAATCCACTTGTTCCCCATCAGGGAAGAGCCAGGGCTGAGCCATGAATCTGAGGTCACCCCTGGAAAGGCCTCTGAGCTTTTGGGCTTTTGGGGACCAAAGGTGGGAGGCATATAGGACCCCTGTCCTCTGCCCCACCTCCCTTGCTGGGTCATGTCATGAGCCCAGTGGGTCTCAGGTGGGAGCTCCCAGCTGACACCCCAAGGGTGTCAGCTTTGGGAAGCCCCAGGCCTTCGCGCTCCAGCCCTCCCAGCCCCACCCAGCTCTATAAAGTCAGGGTGAGATCAGGAACCAGGGAGGGCCTTCATCCACCCCTGCCTGCCCACCTTGGCCCAGACTGGAGCCCAGAGTGCCCCACCCTCAAGGAAGCTGTCAGGTGTGGTCATCAAGGCTTTCAAGTGTGATCCTGCCAGACCTAGCCACGCTCTGGGTGGGGGCTGCCTGCTGGCTGCCAGCACTTTGTAGACACAAGCTCCCTTCATAGCTCCCTTCATCTTGCCTGAAACCAGGGCAGGGAGGGGACGTTTTGCAACCCCAGCACTCCGCTCACTCACTTGGAATTCACATTCATCTTCAGTGAGGCAGTCCTGGAGGGACGACACTTAGGTCACCCTGCCAACCACAAGAGAAGGGACTCTGGACAGTGTGGGGTGAGATGGGGGTTGGGGGTGGTGGAGAAACTGGGTTTTGGTGGCAGACAAGGCTGGGCTTGAATCCGGGTGCTACTATTCACTGGCCTGGTGACCACTCTGAGCCCACATGTCCCAATTTGCAAAACAGGGCTAATAATCCACATGCCCATCTTACAGGGTGTGGTCAGTCTCAAATGCAACAATGTATGTAAAATGACTGGTGCTCAGTAAGTGTTCACTGTTATTATGAGGGCCTTTAGTTTTTGATATTGAGACTCAGAATAATGGGAATTATCTGGTTGAATGTGCTTTATAACATGTCAGAATAGCTTACCAAAATCCTGTTTTTCAGATGAGAAAACTGAGGGTCAGAATTGCCCCAAGGTTTCAAAGCTGGTAGGGACTGGAGCTCAGGCCTCCTGATTCTCCATCCAACAAGGGAGAGAGTTCCCAGGCAGTTCAGGAAGGCCTGCCGGCTGTGGGGTTCCAGGGCGCAGGGTGCAGCTGACAATGCTCTTTGTCAGGACAGGGAGGGTTGGGCCAGGCTCCCCGGGGTCCCTTCCAGCCCTGACCAAGTGCCCTTCCTCCAGGAGGCTGTACTCCCCACCCGAAAACCAGGATCCAAGAGCCTCGCAAGGCCTGGAGGAACTTGCCCACTGTTCCTTGATGATCTGTGCAGCATCCAGGGCACTGAGCTGCCAGGAGTAGTTTTTCTAAGATAAAGAGAACAACTCTGTTGGTTAGAATGCAGCCTCACAACACCAAGGTCATGGATACCGGCCAGCCACAAAAACAGAAAACAAACAAACAAAAAATAGAGAACAACTCTACCCCCAGGGATTTCCCAGAAGTCAAGGAATGGGGGAGGGCAGGTCATAGCCCCATCTCCCTTCACTGCCCACTGCAGGGTCAGGGGATTCCTTCTTCCCTAGGCCCAAAATCTGGAGTGCTCTGCAGCAGCCCCAAGACCAGACTCCTCCCTTTGCACTGTGCCTGAGGCCTGGGCCACACCAGCCACACCCTCTGCAGGCCTCTGCCAGCTAAGGTTGAGCCAGCCCCTCCCTCGCCGGCGCGGCCTCAGAGAAAGTGCGAGAGTCTGCAGGCAGCTGCCAGAGCTCCCTGGAGAGGCCTGACAGCTGATGGATTGCACCAGCCACCAGGCCTGCTGGGAACTGAAAATGTGGACAGCAGTAATTAGAGTGCATGGGTGTGGGGGGCACCTGGTCTTTCTGGAAACATCTAGACTTTGCCTCTCCAAGATTACATTTCCAAAAACCGTCTCCAGCCTGCCCCAATCCCTAGACCTCTGGTTTCTGGCTGGCCTGGCAGGGTGTGGAGATCATTGCCGAAGGGGAGCCAAAGAGGGGCCAGGTGGGAGGGCTGGGGACCCGTTTCTTGCACCTCCTGCCATGGCTGTCAAGGAGAAAGAATCTGCCTAGGCTGGGAGTCTGGGGACCTGGATGTCTTTGATTCTGCAACCTTGGCCAGGGGCCAGCTCTGTGACTCATTTTCTTCCTCTGTACAGTGAGACCATTGGACTGGATGTTCTCTAAGACTCCTTCCAGGGCAATGAATCAACAGTTTCTCCTCCACTCGCTCCCTCCCCCAGGCCCTCTGCACTGCCCGCTCTGGTGAGACCATTGGACTGGATGTTCTCTAAGACTCCTTCCAGGGCCATGAATCAACAGTTTCTCCTCCACTCGCTCCCTCCCCCAGGCCCTCTGCACTGCCCGCTCTGCAGTCTAATGGTGCGGGAGGGGGGTGTGTATATGGGGAGTGGAGATAAAGATTCTCTGCTTGGCCAAACTTTAGCCAGGCTCTTGAAACTTTTCCTAGGCCCATCTTTTCATTTCCTCGTAACACCCAGCTTTAGCAAGAACGCTGTTAAGTCAGTTTAGCAAGAACCTCACTATCTGATCAGTTTCTCATCCTCCACCATCCCTAGGGTGATGTCTGATCACCCTGGCCTGCCTTCAGCAAGAATGCTGGTAGGTTGGTTCAGCCAGAATTCCCCTTATCCCCAATGTTTTAGTAATTTCCCATCCACTGACCCCCACCCTGCTCCTTGGCTATAAATTCCCACTTGCCCATGCTGTATTCAGAGTTGACTCCAAATTCTCCCCCACTGCAAAATCCCATTGCAGTGGTCCCTATACCTATCGCAATGGTACCGGATAAAATCTTCCTTACCGTGCTTTAACAAATATCATTGAAGAATTTTTTCTTTAACAATGGAAGTGGTGGTGAGGGGAGGACATGGAGACACTCACCTGGCCTAAGATGTGAACATCCCCCCATTGTGGGCCAGCTAAGCTTGGACTTGACTTAGAGCAGCTTTAAGTCAGAGTAAGGTAAAGAAAAGGAGAGGATGGGGCAGGGGTTTAGAGTCCTCTCTAAACCTGCAGGAGGTAGGGGTTCCTGTCCTGAGATGGATTTGGGTTTCTACCTTAAGGGAGCCCTAGAAAGCAGGCAGGTGGCAGTGGAACGGGAGGCCTGAGTCTGGGACACCCCATGTCTTGGGTCTTCTGAGATGCCACCTGGGGTGGAGCAGGGCCTGGAGAAGGGCAGGTGCCTGGTGATTGGGCTGGTTTGCTGAATACTCCCTCAGCTGAGAGTAGCAGGTGGGAGGCCAGGGGCTTCCAGAAGCATCTCAGCCAGGGGATGGGGGACACTGGCTGGGACACCCAAACAGGGCACATGCTCTGTGGCTTGTTGCCCTGGGTGTGGGGCTGTAGGAAACTTATTAAGGAGAAAGGGGAAAACACAGCCAGGAAAACAGGAAACAGGAAAGTGCTGTCCAGCCTCCTAGCTGCTGTATGTGTTGGGAGGGGAAGAAAACGGGGGCTCCCGGTGGGCCACATCTGAGGAGAGAGAGACCAAGAGAGGACCTGCTATACCCCCAAACCAGAAGGGCACGTTCCAAGATCCTTGGGTGAGAAACACTCACATCCTGGGTTAGGTCCCCTGTCCCCTGTCCCCCTCTCCTTGCTGCTGGAGGCAGGATCGGCATTTCCTGTTTTCCTGCCTGCCTTCCTGGTAGTATTTTTCCCTTTCCCCAAGGTATAGAGCAGAGTTCAGGCTGAGCCCTCAGTCTGTGGGAGGCAGAGGGAGCCTCTCTGCATCCTTCCCTGGGAACAGGCACCTCTTCCCCAAACTCGGGGAGGGCACTGAGGCTGACGACGGTTTGAGGCTTCCAGGCTGGGATGGACCCTACTCCAGAGAGCTTTCCTCTCAGTCCAGACCTGTTTGTCCTGGCATTTTTTTGTCTCACTCTCTGTCGCCCTCTAGTGTCTTCTAGCCACCACCATGCCTCACCTTGGGTTCCAGGCCTCTCCCAAGGTTTCTGGAATGGTTCATCCCCTGACTCCCTCATTCACTGACTTACTCATTCAACAAATATTTCAAAGGTGCCTATTTGGCGGATGTAGAGACAAAGACATGACATGGTCTCCAGAAGCTCAGAGCTTTGGGGAGAAATAGACACACCACCAAATAAATAACTGGAACAAGAGACTGGGGCCCTAAAAGCAGGTTCCCAGAGGAACCCAGAGACGGGAGTAGCCACTGCAGCTGGGGATCACGGGGTAGCTAAGCTGGGCCTCGAATAGTGAGCTCACCTGAACCTGCGGAGGTGGAGGGGGTGTGAATGGTAGTCAACTGGACCGGGATGTGTTGGAGTCGAGGGCAGTGAAGGGAGATGAGACTGGAGGGTGGGCAGGAATAAAGGATGGTGAGTTCACAGTGGAGTCACTGGGAAGGACTTCCAAGACCTTCTAGCTGGTGGAAGAGGGCAGGGAGTTCTGTTTCATTCATTCGATACCGTGTCCTCAGAGCCCCGAACTGATGCTTGGCACATAGTAGGTGTTCAATAAGTAATTGTGGAATGAGTGAGTGAGTGGTCAGATGTGCATCTT